GGGGGGGGGGGGGGGGGGGTTGATTATGTGGAGTATATCTTATTCTCTTATAACTTCTCAAGATCTTTCTAGAATATTCGCCAATACAAAACGGGTTTCAATTTTTCCTTCATGCACAACTAGTCTAATGGAGACTGGTTATAAGAGAAGAAATATTTGGGTTCTCAAGCTATTAGTACCATTGTCTTTACTATTGCCACATCCCTTTGATTCATATAGAAGAACAAGAATGAAACTAACTCCAACATTCGTCATTCTCACCTATTCTTTATTTGATTTAAGGTCTCAGCTTTTTTTTCAAGGTCCATGATAGCTAATCTCAATATCGTAAGAATAATTCGTCCTCTTCTCTAATTCTCCTTGAGTCGAACAAGGACCTATCTTCCTCAAATTCTCTTTTTACTAGTTTTATGATGGATTCACTAATCTTAATGTTTATCACTTATGCGAAATGATAAGCCATATGAGATGTGCTAAACATGACTTCCCAACTCAGCTTGACTAGTATCATTATAAAATCTAACTATATTGAAGTTGTGATAATTTGTAGAAAATCTAAAGTCCCTTATGACATGTAAAAAATATATATAATGATATAATTTAGATGGCTAATAGTTTAAATGTATGATGTTTTGAACATGTATATAGAAAGAAATGGTAATTTTATGCTCACAACCTTACATTCAAATATGTTCTTTGTGTTCTCCTCGATCCTCCAAGGAGATTTCTAAATTTTGAGGATGAACAGTGTCCCAATTAATTAATTGAAGCTTAATTTCTTTTCTTTAAAAAAAGGTGTATATGATATTTTTGAATATATATATATATATATATATATATATATATATATATTCACAACATTAAAGGCAGAGAACTTTTGTACATTCGATGACAATTTACATTGGGAAACAATCTAAGACGCAATAGAGGCAATGCGTTAACTGAAAAGGCATGCATAGGTAAGTGGAAAGATTGATGCATAACTATGATTGCTTTGTGCTTGTTAGGTAACTATTAACACGATAAAACACAAAATTAAAAGTCATGCATAGATATAGAGCCATGTTTATATAAACTATGACTTTATAGTAGCAATATTTGTGCCAAGTTGGTTTCTAAGCAAATGGTTTAAGCACGTGTTGTCAAAAGAATCACCGTAGGATGATGATCCTGTTGAGAACAAATCAAATAGAGTGATTCTATTTTTTTAATCTTTCTAACTTGCTCCTATCTTAATGATGTAAAGATGCAAAATAGATCAAATATCTTGGTCAATATAGACCGGCAAGTACGCAACACTATATCAGTTTCGCGTTCTACTATTAATGTGAAATAGCGGCAGGTAGATGCTCTCGGCATTGTCCCGTCCAAGTTTGAACCATCTCCTGAGATCATGCAGCGACGCTCAAGCGTTGGTCCAAATCCATGCCCTCATGCTCGTCACCGGATCTCTGTACTACCCTCACTCCTCTGGCCATTTGATCTCTGCGTACGCCCGGATCGGCGACGTCGCCGCCGCCCACTCCGTCTTCCGGACCGCCTCCAACCCCAACATCTCCACATGGAACGCCCTCATTATTGCCCACTCCCGGCGACGTTCTCTCGACCAAGTCCTCCGCCTTTACCGCCTCCTTGTCTCCCGGGGCCGGCCGCGGCCCGACAGTTCCACGTTCACCGTGACCCTTAAGGCTTGCGCTCAATCGTTTGATCTCAGGTCCGGACAGGAGGTTATGGCCCATGCCTCGGATCTCGGGTACTCGCATGATGTGTTCGTTTGCTCTTCGGTACTTAATATGTATGCAAAATGTGGGAAAATGGATGATGCTATGAGGGTGTTCGACGAAATGCCTAAGAAGGATATCGTTTCTTGGACCACAATGATCACGGGGTTTGTAAACGCTGGGAATCCAGTGGAAGCAATAGAGGTTTATAGGAAGATGCAAGCCGAGGGTGTTGAGGGAGATGGGATCGTGATGGTTGGCCTGTTGCAAGCATGTGCGGCATTCGGAGACATGGGGATCGGTCAGTCTGTTCATGGGCATATGTTGCGGCATCACATTGAAACAGATGTTGTTGTCGAGACTAGTCTTGTGGACATGTACGCCAAAAATGGTTTCTTGGAAACTGCACACATTGCCTTCGAGAAAATGTCTTCTAAAAATGTTGTGTCATGGAGTGCATTGATATCGAGCTATGCTCAAAATGGATTTGCTAGTGATGCACTATGGATGTTGATCAAGATGCAGGAGTTTGGTTTGTGTCCTGATTCAGTTGCACTTGTGAGTGCTATTTTGGCATGTTCTCACATTGGGTTTTTGAAATTGGGCAAGTCCATTCATGGGTTCATAATGAGGAGGTTTGATTTTGATCATATCCTGGGTACTGCAGTTATTGACATGTACTCCAAGTGTGGCTCCCTCTTGAGTGCTCGTGAACTTTTCGATAGGGTTTGTTCAAGAGACCTGATCTCGTGGAACACAATGATTGCTAGTTACGGTGTTCATGGACATGGGAAGGAGGCACTATCGACCTTCCTAGAAATGAGCAAAACTGAATTGAAGCCTGACCATGCCACATTTGCTTCCCTGTTATCTGCTTTCAGTCACTCGGGCCTTGTAGAAGAAGGACGTCACTGGTTCAATCTCATGAGACAGGAGTACAGGATTGATCCAAGTGACAAGCACTATGTTTGCATGGTAGATCTTTTAGCTCGTGCTGGTCATGTTGAAGAAGCCTGTGAGCTCATCCAGTCCATGCCAGATGAACCAGGAGTTGCAGTCTGGGTTGCACTCCTTTCTGGTTGTCACAATCACAAAAAGTTGGAGTTAGGCCAGTATGCAGCAGGAAAGGTTCTTGAGCTATGCCCTGATGACTCGGGCATATATTCCTTGGTGTCAAATGTTTTTGCCATGGCAAAGAATTGGGATAAGGTAGTTGAGGTGCGAAGGAGAATGAAGAATATGGGGACAAGGAAAGTACCAGGGTATAGCTTAGTGGAAGTTGGAGGAAAGCTTCATGCTTTTCGAATGGAGGATAGGAGCCATCCCCAATATGAAAGGATCATGGATTTGTTAAAGAGATTGGACTTCGAGATGAGGAAATTGGGTTACAAACCAAAGACAGAGTTTGTGTTCCATGACCTTGACGAGGATGTGAAAGAGAGAATGCTTGGCAATCACAGTGAAAAATTAGCTATTGCCTTTGGGTTGTTGACCACCAGTCCAGGGACAAGAATTGTTATCATAAAGAACTTAAGGATATGTGGAGATTGTCATGACGCAATAAAGTGTATTTCAGAGATAGTAAACCGGGAGATCGTTGTAAGGGATGTGAAAAGGTTCCACCATTTTAGGAATGGACTTTGCTCTTGTGGAGATCACTGGTAAAGATATTTATTCTCAGAATAGTAGTCGTGAACTGACAGAAACAGTACAGAAGCTTCAGATTGAGCAGCTGGAAACAGTTTTCAAAGTAATATACGCTAACTTAGTTGTTTTGTCTACCTGCTCATGTTTACTTGAGGATCTCCTACTCTTGAGAAACCATAAGTGCAAATACTGCTTCAGGGTTTTATTAGCTTTAACATATAATACTATATCCACATATAAGTTCTATTAAGTTCATGCGTTTCTTGAGAAAATAAAATTTAATATTCTTAAACTCTGAGTTGCTTCTGTTCACATGTGAATTTCATGCATAATTTTGAGAGTATATCATCCTTCATGTTTAATAAGTAAAATTGAAAGATTATGTGTCTTTGATGAGTTAGTTCTTATCATTTTTGCCAGGAAATCTCTGAATATGTTGTACCATTATGCAGTTTGAGTCTATAGAGCTTTTGATTACTATTTCTTTTTCCCAAACCATTATTTCTTTCTTGGCAAAATAATGTGAAACTTTATGTTATTGACGAAATGTAACTGATGTTCAAGAACATTGTGTTACCGTAAGAAACTTCTTGCTATTCAAGAACATAAGCCATTCACATTTCATGGAACATTTGCATCTCAATATACCTGATGGCTATAGTACAGTATTCTTTTTGATGGTTTATCTTGTCTTTGCATCAGAATTTGCTTCAGAATCCCCTCCTCTAGTTGCTTTGTAGATTAAATTTTGTTGTCTATTACTAGACCACCAGGCATCTGTTGTGATTCATATGCTGCATCATTTTAGAATATATTATTACAAACCTTTTATATTACTTGGATGAATTTAGATTGAGCTAAAACTATTTCAAATGCAATAAATTTAACTAGAACAGCCCCTTTTGTGTACTAGAATGAGTGTCTTTAGACCGATCCACGGTGTACAGGTTTGTATAGGGCACTCCATGAACTTGTCCAATTTCAAACCATTAGGAATAGCTTATACCAGGTGTTATGAGAAAGAGCTGTGCATGAAACTTCTGTTACTGCAGGTTCTGGGGAGGCCCAGTCTCTTTAGCCTATCCCTATATTCACAAGTAGAGAGATTGTTTTTATAGATTGACACCCTTGAGAGCAAGTGCAAAGAAGCAACTGTACCATACCATGATACTTAATTCAATGATGTTAGATTATCTTATAACTTCAGTTTTCCACTGTAACTTAGAATCACTGTAACATTAATATCCAACTGTAAATACATGTTAAAAGTTTGTTTAAGTGCATTTGATTTTTAAGTTCTCACTGTTGTACTCTGATATCTGCACTATTCTAGTCTGTTAATTCAAAGAACGGATTAGTAAGTTAGGGAAACATGATTTGAGACAATTAAACATGACTTGTCTTACAAATTTGTCCTATGGGTACAAGTACATGCTCAGCCAATCCTCAATTACTAATACTTCAAATTTGCTCAGGTCAACATGAGTCTTGTGCAAACAAATACATGCCCAATTAACATGCGAATACTTGTATTCAGAAGTTTACATGATATAGAAGTTCGTTAAAACCTTACTATGGTTGATGTGGCAACACTAAATTTACTTGTACTTGCTGCTGATTTACAGAGCACACTGGAGTTCTTTCTCAACAGAATTATTTCTCCACTACATGATAGAGGTAATAGAATGAGACCACAATCTGGATTTGATTCAGCATCCCATTGGCATTCGAGTTTGCAAGGTGCTTCAAGTTCATGCTGGATTTTATTAGTTCCTTGTTCCAAAACTGAAGCTAACACTATTTTTCTTCATGCAGCTATTTCTTTCTGCATGAGAATGAACATTTGTCTGTCTCCCAGTTCAAGTCTATTAACATGATTTAGACAGTTTACTCAATACCGTCGAATCACTTGGGCCGACTTTCATCCCCGTTCAACAGGTGGGCCTTACCGTCAAGCTCCTTTCTGCTTTGTAATCGGGCCAATCTCTGTCCAAAGACAGAAGTTGCTTACCTTCCTCTCTTCATCCAGCTGACATAGTTGGAGCAGCTGGGTACCCTACCCAACAAAAACAAACCAGAATGTTTGTTTTGGCTGATGTTGTTGGCTCTGTTCATAAAGATAGTGGCACTCATGAAGTACGATCAGGTTTTACATATTGCACAAAGCAAACATATGATCATAGTATGTAATGGTAAGTGATAGAGGTTTTCATGGGAAAAAGAAAAGGAGTTACAAAGAAAAAAAAATAGATCTTCAGTAGTTTCATGGCTTGAGATTATATATATAAAAATACTATGTAAAATTTCGTAGATATCTCTTAGATATTTATTTAGGAATACATTACAATAAAATGCATGTACAAAATTGTGTAAAAAACTTTGCAAAAGATAATAGTTACTCTGTCTATAATTTTTGTTCTTTAAAGCCTTTTGGGTTAAAATGAAACACTTCTTTGATTCATTTGATCATGAATGAAAAATTTATTGAAACTCATTATTCATAAATAAGAATATTTTTTTCTTACCTTTCCTAATAACTTCATGCAGTCACTAATAAATAGTGATAATAAAGAAAAAAATAATTTTATCACATATTTATTTATATATAATTTGCTTCAATAAATGCTTTATACATCTGTGGTAGGAAAAAATGGCATCAGAATTATTCTTTTGATAAGATAAATGTAGGATGATTTTCCTAAAAAAATCTTCATTTTAGATTTTTCTCATACAGTGCTCTCTTTTAATTTTTTTAAATAATACCCCCTAGTTCGAAAAATATCCAGACCATCCCTAAAAAAAATTAGTTTTACTTTTTTCTTCTATTACAATGTTTTGACCACCAATGTTGTTTGTAAGGCTTATTTGAAAATACTATAAATGAACCAAATGAAACTAAAACACATTGAAAACTATTTGATTATTATATTAGGAGGTAAATAGGTATTTAAAATGTTTAAAAATAATTTATTATAATTTTTTAGCCACAATAACAAAAATACCATAAAACCTACTTAAAAACACTATAAATGACTTAAATGAACTTCTACAATCAAACAATTTAAAAGCCTAAAAATTTGGTATTGTAATGATCCATCAGTAATGACAACCAAGTGAGACACGGTATCACTTATAATATTTTTCAATAGCTTTATATTATTTTTAGTACCTTAATAAAAACATTATAAATGCTATCAATAAACATAATAAATGAGTCAATATAACTGTTTAAAATAGATTAATAAACTAATTGAAAATTTTGGTGGGAAAAGTTGGTGAGGGTACTTTTGGAATTTTATCGAGGGATATTGTTTGAGAAAAACCAAAATGGGGCACTATTTCAAGAAAATTAAAATAGGAATTGGAAAATTCACCCATAACTATTTGCAAACGTCTCTTTACTATTTATAGTCCTATTTTAAAAATTTTTAAATATTTTTCAATTATTTGTTCACAAATAGATACAAATATCATCTTCCTCCTCTTCTTTTTATTCTTCCTTTACTCTTCTTCTTTTTTCTCGAACTACAACATTGAGAGAGCGACGAGTAACATCATAAGCCAGTGACAACATTGGCAAGCAATGTTCATAGCATCGGCAATGAGGATGAAATAACAATTTTCAAACAAAAGGAAAATAATCAATAATAATAAAATTATAAATAATAAAAATAAATTTTAAATTATTTTTAAGCGGTTACTAACAGCAAGCGAGCTTAAAAAAAGACTGTGAATAGTAATAAACTATACTTCAAAGTCCAATTAAACCGGACCAGGTTTTCAACCCACTTCAGGCCGCTTTTGAGCCCATCGCAGACGAGAAAACCCAGCCGGACCTGATCGCGTGAGACTCAGGTGACGAGTCTCGTGCGTATCGAAAGGTCAATATGCTGACCGCCGACCCCTCTCTTTCTCCCTCCGACAAAAGTGCATAACCGCATTTCCCGTCGCCACACCCTTTCCTACTCATTTCGGTCGACGTGTGTGCATCGTCGCCACGCCATTCCCTGTTCGAAGACCCTCTGTTCTCTTCTCCTCCATCTCGGCGCCCTAATTGCATGTTCGTCTTCTTCAAACCTTTGCACCCATTGGTTTCTTCTAGCTTGTTTCATTGGTTTCGATCTTTCTGTCAGTTGGAGATGGCGGGCACAGGTCGAGTTTGCCCTTGCGGCTGCAGCAGATTCTCTCCGGCGGGAGGTCCATGAGGCCGGAGCTTAAATTGGAGCATGATGCTGTGAGTTTTATGACTGATTAATCTCTAGCATGTTTCTCTCTTCATTCTCATCTTGTCGAGAATTTCTCTGTAAGATTACGCTTGGCATGCGTGACTGCATTGGGTACATTGTTCGGGTGGTTGATTGCTTGAAACTGGTCGTGAACTGTACTTGATGCTTGCGCTTGGAATCTTGGGTTCTTGATTGATTGGCTTTGAAGTCATGTTTTTGTCATGGAATTTGATGTTTTCTTGTCCTGATTAATGAGTGTTCACCTTTTTATGTTTTTGTTCTTGTTTGACTTAGGTTTTAGATTTTAGTTTGTTATCATAATAAAATAATTTTTTTATAATTTAGAAAAGACTACCTTTAATTTCTGAATAGCTTTTGGGATGAGAAAAGACAGAACAAAGAGAACAAGGGAAAGTCGAAAGACAAGTGGACTAAATACCATGGCTTCAGTGATCATGGTGACCTTGATTGTGGATTGATAAGTCCATTTAAAATAGACAATGACCAGTCCACTGCTGTTGCATATAATATCCATTTTCTTGCCAGCATGCTGCTATTTCTGAACTTCATTATGCTGTTGATTAATAGGCACATTATGTTGGAGGAGAAGTTAGTGATGATGGTAAATTATTTGAAACATTGGCTTGTTACAAAAACGCAAGCATTGACATTAAAATTCAATTTTGAAATGCCTAGTTCAGTTGCTTTTTCATCTGCAGTAAAATACATAAAATGGAGTTTCAAATATTTTCCTTGATGAAAGAATTGAGATACACACTAGTGCTTTAATTTACACTTACTTAAATTGGAGAGGAATTTGTAAGATGCTTTGAGATTAAGCTTGATTATGGATTCCACACTTATAATGATTTTAATGTCTATTGGACAAATTTTTCAGAGGGACCTGTTGTATTGGCAGAAAAATTTCAATTGTTTAAACTTTCTATCATTTGGGAAAGTGATATCCAATATGTGAATCTAAGAGAAAGAAAGTATTGCAACATTGGGAAATTTGTGGACTTCTGTAGGGAGAACAGTTTCAGAGAAAGTAGAGGAGTAAGAATAGTTCTCAGTTTTTCTATTTCATTTGATGTAGTAGGTTTCGACGTAGTAAGAAACCTGTGGAGTAAGAATAGTTCTCAGTTTTTCTTTTATGTTTGATGTTGCTAAGATCTGGGATTGGCTATATGCAGCAAAGAAATTGTATACTGTTATATCAGATGTAGTAGGTTTCAAGTTTGGTAGTAAATGAATGCAATTGCCATCACATTGAGGGGTATCTGTGGATTGAATCACATGTTTCAATATTCTCTGTTTTCTCCAAAATTGTTGCATGAGGCATAGATGAGATAATAATTATTAACAAATTGTAAATCAAGTGTTATGGAGCATTGAAGACCAGGCAGAAGACATTGTTGTATGTCATGTTCAAATGGTACAGTAATTTTCCTTTTTCTTTGTTATAGTTTGCAGTTATTATAATGTATAAAATTATATGTGGTTCATAATGATTCATGTAGTATAGGCTTATGAAATAGAAACAGTAAAATTCCCTTATCTTCATCATCATTATCATCACCAACATCAACATCTCAACTATGTGAACACAGAATGCTCTTCTTTTGCTTCTTCCTACTAGTAATGACAAAAATGATTTTTTTTCCAAACAAGTGAAATTTATTTTAATTCCAGATGAATTTTTTGCTCTTTAAAATGCATCACTATTTGGAAATATAAAGAAAAATTAAGTTTTTGTCCTCAAAATATTTATTCATCATTCCTCCTTCAAGATTTCTTCTTGAGCAGCCATCTGATTCAGAGACCACCTCACAAAACACACGTGTAAATGCTTCTGCTGCTGGACCTTTGGCAGCTGAACATAGCAAGTATTTCAAATAGAAGGATTCTAGCAGGAAGCTTGCTACAGATGTGAATGATGAAGGTAATACATTTGATCTTCTCCACAGCCTTCCAGAAGCAGAACTTCGAATATTATGTTTTCATTGCTTGAACATGAAGGGTACGTTTGTGAAATGTCAGATTTTTTCTTGCTAGTTACTAAAACCACGATGTTGAGGGAGTCAGATATCTTTTGTATCCCAGTCAAGCTGATTAAATTTGGTTTATTTCCATCTCTACTTTTATATCTGAATATCCAACATTTTGGCTGTACAAATATATCATAAAATTATTTGACTTGCCTATATCAACAAAAGGAAAGTTATTTGTTTGCTTTTCTCTGTGTTGTATGATATCTCTTTCTTGTTCTTCCTTCTCCTTCTGCATTTCTTTCTACAAGTTCCAATCCAAAAAAATGTAATTGGTATGTATGAACTAGTTCCTTTACATTGACATCTAAATTTGACTATGTTCTAATTTAAAATCATCTTGTTGATTCATATCTGTTTTCAATTAAAACAAATGCAGTTTCAGTATTTGGTATCCTTTTAATATCTATTATGAATTTTGTATCTACTGATAGAAAATGGACTGGATTTGGTTACTTCAGTATCTGATTTGCGTGAAATTCAATCTTACCCTTTTATTAGTTTTCTTTTGATTACTACTTTTTCAAATTTTAAGCATTCAATTGTGTGGATGTCTTTCTTTAAATCTGTTGATCCATCTTGTTGATGGTATGCTTATAATATCTATTTGGATCAAGGTTTGTAATTTCGTATACTAGTATTGTATTGGTCAGTGCTTAAACCAATTTGAACCAGTCCATACCGGTGTATCAAGTGTTAGGACATGTTTATGTTTCAGAAAAAACCTGAAAAACCTAAAAAATAATAATAAGAAAAACTGCTTAGTATGCCTGTACCATCCTATATCTTACAATACAAGTCCTATATCGGACACGATATTGGGTTTAGCCTGGCCCGAGACCTTCGAGTACTAGTAAGTAGTTGGACCAACAAATACTGCTGCTGGTACTATATCGTAAACCTTGATTTGGATATACCATCAATGATTGTACCACCAAATAGCTCTCTACAAGGCTTTGTAAGTTTTCAATAAGAGCCATATATTTTAAATTTGAGCAATCCAATTAATTACAAGGGTCTAAGTACATTTCAGTGCTGGTAAGTTCACTTGAACTTTTCATGTGCATTGGCCATTAATATTGCAATGAATATCCTCTAAACACTTCAACATGATAAGTTCACAATAACATGCTTGGTCATAAATAAAAGGTATCTCTTTTTCATATATGCATGTCCTCTGCCCTCCATTGTTTTCTTACTTTTGACACTTTGTGCTTTTCCTCAGATTGTCCAGTAATGTGTATGTTCTTGTGGATGAAATATTGAAAAAGATAGTGGCTTGTGCTCCTACATACCACAGCTTATTTATAGAAGAGCACTTGCTAGTTCAGTACAAACTTTAACTGTTTGTGCTATGAAAGAATTACAGTTAAACGAGAATGCTGAAAAGATTCATCTCAGCTCATCTTCGGCCAGTGAGACTACAATTTTGGGAGTTCTGCAGGCATTGAGCTTTCTTGTTGCTTCATTGCAGGAAAAGAAATTTTCTCAGCTTTACCCTGAGAAAGATTTTGGTCGTGCTCTTTCTCAAGCGTGCGACATTAATGCAGCACTTGAATCAATGTGGCCAGAGTTGAGTAACTGCATAAGCAAAATTGAGGGTTCCTCACAATCCCCATCAGAAATGGCTGTTACTTCTGCGAATTTGGTATCTGCAAAGAGCGCAGCGCCTCCACTTCCGGTTGGTACCCAGAACATCTTGGCATGTGACGAGCTGCATCCTGGGCACTTAGTAGCAGTGAAAGATATTGGAACTGCAACACAACGAATACTGATGGTGGAGAAGCTATAGCTAATGATGGATGGACTGAAGTTGTCAGGGACATGCATAAATGTTGAAGAAAAACAGTTAGCTTTTGTCAAGTTATCAGAGAAACACCAGAAGCTGTTGAATGCATACATCTGACAGAGCCCGAGATTGCTTTAGAGGTCATTCTCGCTCATGCTTATGTTGACTTTGACAACAAGCATAGAATTTCAGTTAGAAGAGCATATATACTCGAGGACTCGTATAATCAATTGCGCATGTGATCACCTCAGGATATGAAGGGGAGGCTTATTCTTCACTTTCAAGGTGAAGAAGCTGTTGATGCATGGAAATGGTATCGAGACACTGCTTGTCACAACAATTGGGAATAAAATCCCAATCTTGGCTACCATCCAGAACATCTCTCATATTTTGAGTTTGTGGGACGAGTGGGTATGCCTAATGCATTATTTTGCAAGCCATCTTGCTATATAGTTTTCAACAAAGGTTCAACGTGGTCTTTCCTCCCTGCAGGTCGGTAAGGCACTCTTTGATGGCAGGCTTTTGGATGTCCATTTCAGTCAATCTTTCTATAAGCGCATGCTTGGGATCAAGGTAAACTTATCATGATATCGAGGCTTTTGATCTTGATTGCTACAAGAACCTAAAATGGATACTTAAGGTATGCTTTCTTGTTATGCATCTTCTTGTTTAACCGTTAAGAAGTTAAAGTATATTTTGAAAGATCATAAATTAATATTTTATATTTTACGTAAGATTAGAAAGAGCTTTAAGAATAAGGAATTCTTAGTTTAAAATATATTTTAGATGATTTCAAATAAGATTAGATAAAGTTGTAGAGATTAGAGACTCTTGTATTTTACATCTATAAATAGATAGCATCCACATGTAGATCAACAAAAATCCGCAAGTATTTAAGTCAAGTCTAAGAGTCATTGAAGATCTGTGTAAGTATTTTTCGTTTTAAGAAGTTCAATAAAGTTTTTTCTTTTCCGCCTTGGTTTCTTTTCTTCTATTTGGTTTGATCTTGGGCTAGTAGTACCTTATTACTACTATTTGAGAAAGGGTTGCATTTGCATGGGATCCTCCCTTTCCTCACATGGTATGAGAGCCACAAGGGTGGTAATATATATTTTCGAGATCTCCTTAGTGAAGAAAACTTTTTTTTACTATGGAATATTATAATCGACTT